AACAATCAGTCTTTTCCACCTTCTCCCTACTGGCTAAAGTAATGCAACGTTCCAGCCAAAACAACTAATCAGAACCAGTAGGTGGGTCTTAGTGCTGTCAATCAACTTCATTCACTCACTGCTAATGGTGGAGAAACAACATATGACTATCATTACAGGAAACCATTTATCTGCCGTCATTGGTAGCTATGCTAACTAGACTAAGCATTCACAACAGGCTGCACTAGCTACAGCATAGCACAGAGTGAGGCAGAGGAAGGATGAGCACACAAAAAATCAAAGCAGATGAACCAAAAGAAAAGTTCAAGAGTTTTAAAATAAAGTAATTCTTGAACCCTTATTCTTGCCTCCATGTCCTCAAATATGTTGTGCCCTTTTCAGACGTAACACAGGTGTATAAAAATGACCCACAATTGTCTGTTGATTTTCATAAGGTCTCATGAAATGTGTTTAATTTGTAACATTTACCAATATTTCCTAGATAAGCATCTCAAAAATAAAATAAACAATTTCATTCCCTTTCTAACCTTTGATAAGAAGTTGTTCCTGCATCAAGGACAGGACTGGCATTGTAAAGGCTGAGGAAGCTGCTGGACAGCAGAATTATAAAACTACTGACCTAAATGACCAGACCTGACAAATAAAGCAGCCAAAAACAAATGGTCTAATGAAACTTTCTTTATTCACATCATTTTCTACTCCAGCTATGTTAGAAATAAACATAATTATCAATCCTCTAGTTCCTATGTTGATGTCTCGTTCATCTGTACACACTATTATAAAAAAGACTAGATAATACACTTAAAAATCCAACAGTTTGGAGGTGAGGAGGCTTTGACAGTTTGAGAGGTTTCTGATTCATCAGTCTGTCCCATCACCTCTAGCCTTTTCCACTCCAACTCTCTCCTGCTTTTTTTCTTTTTTTTCTTTTTCTTGGTTTAAAAAAAAAAAAAAAAAAAAAAAAAGAAAATCTGGCTACTGTACCCAGAGCTCAGACAGGGGCTTAGACATTTGAAAAGCACTTTGACTGTACAGCTCACGCAGAACAAAACAGGTCATATACAGAGCAGTGGGAGAGGAGGAAGAGTATACTGCTGGGGCACAATACAGACACAATACAATGCCATCTGACAGAAAGTACCATTAAAAAGAACATTTTTAAGCATTTCATAGAAACAAAAAGAGAGTAGTTGCAAACTTGGAGTAAACAAACCAAGCATATATACAGTGAGGTAAAACACATTGGTCTTCAATCAGAGGTATATTCTTTTTGATTAATTGACCTTTTCAATATGTTCATTGCTGTAAGCTTTTCATGATATTTGTCAGCTTTTTGATGCCATTTATAAAGCTGTCAATGCAATCACACACAATTACATGCAATCCTGTCTTTCCAGGTGAAAAGTAAAACACTCATCAAACTTAGGCACCAAATAAAACATGATAAAGCTTTCAGCTACGTCTGGCACCATGCCGGCCTAACTGCAGCCCCACCGAGCGACCCTTGGCTCTCTGACAGCAACCACAAGGACAGAATGAAACTATCGCTGGCCCTGACTCGGCCTGAGTCACAGTGCGTCAACGGTGTTAGCATAGGTAGGCTGTTCGATCTGTGTGATCCGGAGGGACCCAACTCGCCCAGAGGTTGCATAAAAAAAGACCCGTGCGCCAGACTGTTGCGAATACCCCTGTCTTTGGGCTGAGATTTGCAAATTGTGCTTGTTGACTTGAGTGGGCTGATACATTCTTGACTGTGAGAAGTTGTCAGTGCGTGGTTTGAAGCTAGTTCATGTTCAGAGCCTCCGTCGATCAAGAGAGGAATGGGAGAACGCTTTCTATGGCCTGAATGTTTGATTTGTTAACAGACTGATATGACTGCATCTGCTTTATGGGGTTTAAATAACTAAACAACTCAGATAAAGATTTTCCAGATATTTGTGCTGATGGATGCTTTACTCTCTCATATTGCTGCTGATTTAGCCAACTGCTTCCAGTCATCCCAGTATCACCTGCTGCTGCCTATTCCACACAAACTAAGGACAGTACTGGATGACTTTCACTGCCATCTAGTGATCAATTTTTCTTTTCCACACTACCTAAATGTTCAAATATTGTGTGGCACTATTTTCAACAACATAAATCTAATTAAGCATCTGCTTGACAGAAAACAAAGAAAAAACATTTTCAAATAGTAAATAATCTGCTGCAGAATAATGCAGAGAGAAACAGAGTATTGGTCATAAAGGTAAACTGGATGCTTATTAACCATTTATTCAGAGCTACAAAGAAAAGCTGACTGGGTTTCTAGAAAATAAGGCTACGGCATTAGCTAATTTAAGGGAGGAAACATCCCAGTAATGTGGGTCTTACAGAGGACTTCAGCCTGTCAAGTCGCTGGGTCTCCAGTGAGCACACTCTGGGACCAAAGGCTTAAAATTGGCATCAAAACAGAGGTAGCATTGGTAACATCAGTCAGTAACTGCGTATATGCCAACTATGTTTCCAACAATCTGATGCAATGGCCAATCCATACAGTGCTTGGTTTGCAAAAACACAATCACAGCTCCTGTTCCTCTGGAAAAGAATCCTATCTATAAACCCTGACAAGCACACTAATTCAGTTTTGAGCTAATCTAAACCTTAAAAGGGCAGTTAAGAAGAGTGGTGTGGAAAGGTTAAGAGTAGTTACCCTCTGACCTGCAGTAGATAGGATTCACCTCAGGTAGAATGAAGAGAAGTCTGGACAGTCTGGGAGATCATAGCGTGTCAGAATGTCTTCTAAATCAAAGTGAACTTTTACTCTCTTTAAATGATTTCAATCACATCATGCTAGAGGATTTAGAATGCTGCTTTACAACGTGTGAGCTTTAGCAGTCTCAGCTACTAAAAATATCCATCTGGTGTTAGGATGAAATGTTTAGAGTCCATCCAACTGATCAAATATAATATCAACATGCAGAAGTTAAATGTTATGACACTTGAAGTAAATGTACTATCAAATATTGTGTCCAAGCAATCCTTTGAAATACTGCATGCATGATGTAGTAATTATGATTGGTACAGAAATGTGTTTTGGGTGGAGTCCAAACTTCTTTTTCTTTCCCCAAATTCTGGTTGCTAAGAGTTATTTACAACAGGTTAGACACCAACTACTTACAAACACGTCCCATGACATTATTTTAGAAAAGAAAGGCCTGAAGGCAGGGCTGCAGTGAGGCCTTTGGTAGCTGGCAAATGTTAAAAGTCAATTGAAGAACATGGAATGACAAGATAGAAAGGCAATAAGGAACACAGGACAGAGAGATTCCTGTAGAAAGCAAAACATTTCTCTTTTTCTCTCTCTTTACATTTAAGTTATCTTGGGTTTTGGGGAAAAAAGTTACAAGGCTGCTGGTGACTTTAAGACAAAATAAATGTTGTTGTAGTAGTAGAGGCATACCAGAGGTGTGGTTGCGTTGAGCTTCTTGTTGTTGCTAATCTCCCAGAAAATGACTTTACAAATGGAATAAATATGAAGTAAAGCCTCAGTCGCCACAGATTAAGAGCAGGGGACGCCATGGCTTCTTAAAGGGATACTCTGACATCGTCTTCAATTCCAATTTAGAACCTCTGAACCCACATAAACTAAAGATAAATGCTTGGACTCCATGAAGTATTTGGGAAAAGTACTTCAACCACTTCAGTATATGTGACACTCTCTATCAGTACACTTTGACTCCAGGTGTTTGACCTTTTCTAATACTGCAACATTTTATTATTTGTTTAGTCCACAAGATACTTACAAAACTGAATATGCCATATATGCTGCTGACCGTTTTCCATGTGATTAAGAGTCATATGCTGATAGAGATGACTCAAATGAGTGTGTGTGTGTGTGT